GCAAATAATATAAGACTATTGATTTAAAATTCTCAATATTGTTTTAGAATATACACATAGCAAAATGTTTTTAATTGAAAAGATTAAAAGCTATACATATGTAACACTGACGAAAATTAAACAAACTTAGATGCAATATAATTTACAAGAATGCAAAATGTTGACGCAATTTCATTTATTGCATTTTGGTTATTTATATCTAATATTTTATCATAATTTTAATGAAAACACTTCTTACTGCAATATATTAGATGAGATAAAATTTCAAATAATCCGTTGCAAAGAACACAAATAATTCAAATATAAAAGCTTAATAATCGTATCCGTTTTAATCAGGTATTAATCAAATATTTATTGCAACACTAAGCAATTCACCTGTTCGAAATTCAAAATGTTATCTTTAAAAAAGCCGATAAGTTGCCCCGTTATTATATTTTCCCAAAGGTCGAGGTCAAGCGAAACGGAGGCTACTTAAAAAGGGAGACCAGTCTTTGTACTTTATAAACGTTAAGTTTACAATCCCAATCAGCTCAAGCGAATTATAAAATTGAATATAAGTAAAATGTAATTACAATGAAAAACTCAACTTGTTCAAGTTGTTGAATGCAGGTACAAGTATCTCTCCTACCCCATATCTCCCACACCAGTTGTTGTACCTTTAGTTATAGTTACAACATTGGCAATCACCACAAATCGCGTTTATAATTGAAAATCTCAAATTACTTACGGCCAACCGCTAAGCTTTTAATATGATTCGTATTACAGCAACTGATCCAGCTGTCGCAGTTGCCGCCGGCACTTAATCAATCTGTCAGTTACCTTTTTTAACTCAGCACGCGTAGTGATTGATGTGATGAACCAACTGCAGCTGACACAGTGCTGCTTTAAAAGTTCCAAAGCAATCGGGGATAAAAAATATTTGCACGCCACCTTTGTCGAGTTGCTATTTTATAAACTATTTTCCAATAGAGGAAACTTCTCGCATACACGCTAGCGCTTTATCAGTAAGGAGTGGAAAGTTTTCAACACAACGATGAAAAGTCCGAACAAGTTTTTAAAATAAAATTAATTTTGCATATACAGATAGCATATATATGGCTCGTTAATCTGAGAAACTTGGACTTTGAAATTTGACTTTGCAAGGTTTAATGTTTAAGACCTACACATCTAATGCCAATAAACTTTTAATTAGAAATAATTTCAAAAAGTGCATTACCAAATAATTTGGCGATGAGAAAGCTGTGCACAAGATGGCAACACTGAAACAAAAACAGCGTCGTTAGAATTTTTCAAACACGGATGGATGAAATAAAATGTCCATTACTTCACACCAGAGGTGAATTATCAGTCAAAACAAAAATCAGAAAAAGCAAAGACAGATGCACGTGGGTTAACTTTTATTTATTGTCATTTAAAAGGAAAAGCAATCATTAGAGAGTATTATGTAATCTTATTGCAACTTTTCGATTATTTCCTTCTTCCATGTTACAAGATTTACCAACAATGAAGAGATGGAATCCGCAGTTGATAGCTATTTTGAGGAGTTCTACGTTTTCTACTATAAACAGGGTGTCAAAACTACTAAACATCGCTGCCAAAGGTGTATTCGAGCTAGAAGGGGACTATGTGTTCAAAAAGGAGAATGTTCCCCAATTGCATGTGTTTTTGTTGTTAGGTAGTGTACTTCTGGGACTACTAACGTGCCATTTATATCATGCAGAGGATTCATTGCATAAAGGGACAAATCCGCATAGCCAAGTGTGCCTGTGTACTGAAGCGTTTCTATTTAAAAGCCATAAGAAATTCAAACGCAATAATTCTGCAAGAATATGAAATTTTCAGATTTGTACTTTTTCTTGTAAAAAAGTAATCTAATTTTGCGAAACCACTCGCAATACTCGTATATTGATCAAAGCGATATATTGAAATTGCTTCTACCGCAGACCGCACCCCACCCCCTCTACTAAAACACGCACATATGAATGTGTGATTCACAAAGAGCTCAAATAAAATATATATAGTATGTTATATAATAAAAATTGTGCAGTGCACCATATCGAAAAATAAAGTAAACGTTGAAAACTCTTTTCAGTCTTTATGCGCTGTACCTGGAAGGTTCTTTAGCTTTTCCACTTGTTTTGTTTTTATACTGTGCTGTTTTATATGTGTGTATGTGTGTGTGTGTGTGTGTGTGTTGATGCGAGCACATCGACCTAAAAAACAATGGCCAATAACTTAACAGTAATTAAAGGCGAAGCGTGAAACGATAAATGTCAATAGCAGACCAACTCCCAAATTTCATGCATTGCTCATACGCCTCGTTGGCACCCCACACTGCCTACAATGCAGAAGTAATTGCTAATGCTCAAATAATTCATATTCATTCAATAGGAAAAACAAGACACAACTAAACAAATAAATCTGTGTGCGCCCTAAACGACCAAAAGGCATCAAGTTGCGTTTTGATAATAAATTGAGTTTCACTTAAAATTAACCGTAATCCAAGGCGAACGTGTCAGGCCGTTCGAGCAACGACAAAGCTATAGTATATGTAAATAAAGGAGCAAGTTGCAACTTAAAGAAAACTGTAGCAGCATAGGCGTCCTATAAAATGTGGCAAAAAGCCACAAGCAACAACAAATAAAGCCGCAATACGAACACGACAATGAAACGAGCAAGTTGAACGAACTACAAGAAATTGTGGCTTTTCCAGAGACAACGACAACCGACTTGTTTCCCTTGTTTGCTTCTATGTGTGTGTGTGTGTGTGTGTGTATGTATCTCTGTGATAAAGTTAACTTACAGCAGGAAAATTAAATAAAATTACTGCTACCTCACTTAAGTTGACAATTGCCTAAGCATATTTGCCATTTGATTGATTTATTCTCGGTGTGATAGACACAACTTGAGCTGACGTAATGACGCAATGAGATTTTGTCCGGACCCAGCCAGGGAAGATTGTGGCTCGCGTAAACAGCAGCAAGAGCAGTAGAATCAGTAGCAGTAGCAGCAGCAGTTCAGCTTTTTTCAGCATAAGGCGTTGCCAATGGGCGTCCGTTCGACAGACATTCGAGGCCATTTTGTTGGCTGCCTGCCTATTTTGCTGCGCTCTATTATACTTTGGCTGCCCTTATTGTGGCACTTTGTATGTTTGTGTGTGTGCGTGTATGTGTGTGTGTGTGGATATGATTCGAGATAAGGCGCTTTTGCCAACCCAATATGAATTCACAACACCTAGCCAAACTTTGAAAGACTAAACTATATCTGGGCACACATGCCCTATGAACATATATATGGCTGCATCTATTATTGTTTTCTGTATATAATGGCTGTAAAGTTTCGTGCAGTGTACAACTTGTGCGCCCCTTTCCGGCACCGTCCACAACAGTTTCCAGCACTGACTTCCAACTTCTTTAAGCGCCACAATGCGCCATTTTGCAGCTCAATTTGCTTGCAAACAAAATGGCGTCGCCATCTACTGCACCATTACGTTCAGCGAGCTCTGTTTTTCAATTTCGTTTCTAATGGTACGAAATAATATTTTCATCTCAATTGCATTGCATTTGGCTTCATATTGATTGTTTGCATTATAAAAAAGGACATCATTAGCGTTGCTTACCTGTGCAGATGATTTTTAGACAATCAGCACGACTAAATAAAGCTTGATGGGCATTTTTTACAAATATTTCAACAATCAGATAGAAAACGACAATAATCAAAGAATCGGCAGAGCACTCAAATTTATAGTAACAGCTATTAATCGATATCGAATATAAATATTGCAATAATTAGTATAAATTACCTCTCAGTTCTTAATTTACAATGTCTTGCGGCGGCTTACACGGCGTTTAAGTATCACTTAAGGCAATTACCGTCTTAAATTAAACATTAAGTGCAAAAACGTGTTCAAGGCAATTTGAATGACTTGAAAGAAGAGAAAACGCCGCAAAATAAAGGTAAACAGTCTGTTGTGGGGCTCATCCACCACAACCAAAAATATAGCAAAAGATTGTGGCTACATATCGGCATGTGTTCCTGTTCTATTAAAAGTACCTACAGTATTATATAGTATAGTATTTGCGTTCCAGAAAAATATTTGTTCTACACAGCTAGTCTGTTTATTCAATACTGAAGATGAATATGCATTTATACAATTTCACAAACATGTCATGTTAAAAACCTTTTTTTAAGTGAAAAGTTTGTAAATGGTTGCGAAAGGTTTAGTAAGGCTTAGTTCATACTTCAATAAATTTAGCGTTACTTCATTTTACGTTGAGAGCTGCTTTCTTACATACATCAAAACTTTAAACTGGTGAAGGAAAACAACAGCTTTTATTTAAAGTCGCCTTAAACTATCCACTCGATTGGTTGATTGATAAACTACATATTTCTGAAATCAGTATTTTTTTTTTTTTTGGCAGCCATAACACATTCTTATTTCATTTAATCAGAAACTTAAAGAATGATATCTTTTGCATTAATGGTTTTCGTAATTTTTCCACTATTTGGAATTAAAAATTATGTCTTTTGTAGTTGTTGAACGATGTCAGAATGCAGTTAATGGTAGCATTTCTTATATATAAATCGACTTATTGATGGTTTCTTTAAAAGTAATATGTTACGTCAGACCATCAAGCACTTCTCAGTATTTGTTCTTCTCAGTATTTGACATAAGCATATACTAAATAAGATGTTTGATAATATACTCAATTTTGCGAGTTTGGGAAAGTTGAGACACTTATTCCCGAATCTATCCATGCAGGGCTCTATTATCTAAAAGCGTTTACACTATAACATTGGTTGATGGGATTGCTAAATATGGTATTGCCATGTTTCTAATGCCAAATGCTAACATGCACGCTCAGGATATTTTAATGTTGAGGTGAGATAAGGTTCGGTGGGTTTGGATGCGAGGCGTGTGGATACAGCCTTAAGGTGCCTGCTGCATTTAATAAACTCCTATGTGTGTAGTATAAATAGCACATAATTCAGTTCCCTACCTGTCGAATATCGGGCGGTGGTGCTGTGGTTCTGCCCAGCGCCGATGCAGCCGCCATAGGAGAAGTGATGGCTCGAGGTACCAGTGCCCGAAACAACGGCTATTTCGTCCAGCTCATGACCGGGTGAGGAGACCAGGCGCGTCGATGATGTGGCTGAGTTCCCCTGTGAGTTTTTTCTTCCACGTAGCGAGAGCACCAGCCTTTTGGCTGTGGACATGCCCGCTTTTCCTGCACTGCAAAGTAGAAAGGCAAGCATTTTTTTTATTAATCAGTAAGAAGCACTGTGGGGAGTCAACAAAAAAGATACAGCTGCTTATTTTATTAATAATTTAGAGTGTCACAGACCGGCAAAGCAACAAAGTGGAATCTTGTCTATCTAGTACCACGAATTTACATTTTTAATGCCGCCTTACGCCCTCTCTTAAATCTGAACAGAATGTTAAGAGCAAAAAAATAGCACACTTTAAATAAGCGGCATTCGTTTAGATAACAGCTAGTGAGAGAGGATATTATAAAAACAAACAAGCATCAGGAGCACGAGAAAATCTTAAAATATGCAAATATCTGCAATCAACGCTGTAGCAACACAAACAATTTTTTCCTTCATTCCACCCCACGGACAAAATATGGCAGACACATTAGCAAATTTGCATATGGTATAAAAGTCAAATGTTTGCCTTTAACATTATGAAAATACCTGCTCTGTATTAAAAATACACACACTTATGTGAATTAGTATCGGTGTATTAATATTAGAGGCAATATTTCTTGTTTACTCTGCACTGTGTGCGGATGGCAAGCTCTTAGCGAATACATCTTAAATAAAGCCACAAATGCGAACATCCCCATATTAAATATATCGACTGAGTACATATATATTACAGCATTTTCATCACCATTTCCACGGCTTCCACTTGCGTATTCCTTATCAGTTTAATATTTAATAAGTTGGCAAGCAATGTAGAGTAAAAAGATCCATACAAAGCGAAAAATATTAATAAAGGCTGCCACAGCAACAAATTCCCAATTCAACGTGACTCATCCACTTCCTGATAACATCTTGGTTCGACCCAAGCCACCATCGATATGGCTCTAAATATTCAGCTGAGTGTAAAGTTGATAAGTTGGATTAGAAAATTGTCACACAATGCTCACAACCCGTGCAACTGCTGCCACATGCTGGCAGCCCAAAGCTCTTGCCACCCAAGCATTTGTGACGCAAATGTTCCGCATATGCATGCATAAATATTATGGATGCTATATTAAAATATTTATATTAGCATCTCGGGCTGTCACCGACACCCCATCACCCCCAGCTCAATATCGTACCAATTTTAAAAGCAGCCTAGCGTATTGTGTTGATTGTGGGTGCTGTTTGTTGATCCTTTGACTCTGCGACTTCAAAGTATTTAATAACAGCATTTGACTGTATTTTATTTTTTATACTGTTATTGCGACTGTTGCGTTGCGCAATCTGTTTTTTGCTTTTGATGGGTTGCTGTCAAAAGCCAAACACACAAACACATCATCCCCACCCATCCACACACATAAATAAAACGCAAATATAATTTTACACTTGCACGTGACGAATATCAAATTTTGTGGATTTCGAACTTTGATTGAATGTCGGCGACTTTGAAGTGCATAGCAAAAAAATATTAAAAAAAATTAGTGCTAGCCGGAACACATAAATAAATATGATTTATCGCCGCACACTGCCACTACATGTGACCGCTCTGTTTTTTTTTTAATATGCTGGCAAAGCTAAAACAAGCTTAAAAGCTATTCGGAAATACTATTTGGTACGTTCTCATCAAATGTACAATTTCTGTATGGACATTGATTTCAATTGGTTTGGTTTTTATTAAAGCGTTGGAAACTGTTACTAATTATAAGAAGTCGGGTGCCGACTGGATAACTCAAGCTTTTCCAAATAAAGTGAAGTTCTATTCGGCAATAAAAAAAAAAAACACCAAAATAGAATTTAGTCCGGAAAAGGAAACAAGTCGATATAACTTGTATATTATATAGAATGAAATAAATTAACTGAAATTCTTTTTCACGACAATTGCTGAATTCGTAAGATGCTTTTTAACAAGCAGAAGGAAACTGCCTGTGGGAACGTCTGAATATCGGAAAGTGTTAAAAAGGACAAAACATGGTTATAAAAGCTCGATACTGTCCACAAGCCCAAATCTACATAAAACAGAAATTTTCACACGTAATCTATAGACAATTCTCGACCTCTATTTTAAACTTCTTCCAAATCGAATGAACATTCTTAAAATCGAATAAGCGAATACAAAAAAAAAAAGCTCGCTCGGCTGTACAATTTCTTTTTACATTGTACAGTGTTAATTATGAATATATTAAAATAAAAATAGGATTAATTATTTATTTATGTTGATATTATTTTACACTTCCATTAAAGGGCATACATAGTTTATGATTTACTCAAACGTGTTTTGTATTTTAAGCAAAGTGTTTCATGCATAAATAAATGAACATTTTTTAAATTCTTTCCTTTTTCAGTATGTATGTAACTGTGTATCTGTAATTTATAAAAACTTTTTTCTATCCTAAAATAGCAGCCAACTGGCAGTTGTGCCAAAGTCGGTTGCAAAAGAAACTCAAAGCACAGAGCCACTCATATGGCAGAAGAGCACCAGCAAACAGAAACAGCAGCAACAAAAACAACTTATGCATGACTTATTACACTTCCGTTTCCTGCATTTCTGCTGTGATTATGTACAGCGATAAAAATATTAGCAGCAGCACCTAACAACAGCAATCCAAAGCGGTAACAGGCAACAAAGCAGAAAAGCAGAAAAGTAGAAATTGTTGCCTGGCAGGCTGGCTGGCAAGCTGGCAGGCAGACAGCTTGGCAGCCTGTAAGTCAGTTTGTACGTCAGTACGTCATTCCGTCTGCCCGTTGGGCCGTAGTGCTGACGGCAGAGCCAAAAGCCAATCAAGTGTTGCCAAAACTACGTAAACACGAAAATTGCCAAACGTTGCCAAAGCAAGTGGCAAATGCCAGCAACAGTCTTCGTTGCAACGAAAGCTGAAATTGCAGCTTAAGCTTTTCTTTTTTCTGTGTGTGTGTGTGTGTATGTATGTATGTAATGTGTTCGTGAGCGTGTGTGGGTTCATGTGTTTTTGGGGTGGCAATACCGACAATTGTTTGCATTGTAAAAGTGTCAACAATATTTGCAACTCTGTTGAATTTTTACCTCTTTGGGAACCGGTCTCGCTATTACTTCACACACACACGCACACATGCATACAAACACATAAATGTATGCAAATACATGCGCGTACTTTTTCCTTTTTTATTACGTTTTATACTTGTATTTATTTTTTCTCTCTTGGTACTATGTATACACAAATATACGAGTGTGTGAATAAAAATATTATCATATTTTCGTATTTTTGTAAGTGTTGCGGAAAAAAAATACTATTATTCTTGTTTCGCTGTCGTTTGACGTGTCTGGTGGTTTGCCTTTTTACTTCTGACATACGAGCATGTATGCGCACATTATTTTTGTTTAAACAGAACGCCAATATTTTTATACACTCAACCCTACGTGTAACTAAAAAAAAAACAGTGTAGTGTGAAAGTAGCAGATGCCAATTTTGAGAAGAAAAAGTTGAGAGGAAAAAGTTATTTGGCTTACCTTAAATAGCTTGGACATTTTTCAAACTATTATTTGCTCAAAATACCAAGAATGAAAGTTGAAAAGTTTTTGTTTAATTGTATGTTTTCTTTTAAAACCAAGTATATTATTTCACATGTCCAAACAACAGCATTAAATGTTTGCTATTGATGGGTCAGCTTTTAATTGGTTTAATTGCTCAAAGCTATCGGGCTATTATGCTTCACATAATTTCACAAATATTGACATTTTCAATAAACACTCTGAACCAACAATTCAATTGAAAATTATAAGCTAAAGAAATATACTAGTATTGTACGATTTGGACTTGCAGTCATTATTAGTTTTATTTTATTTTAGGAATTGCACAGCCTATTCCCTTTTATATGTTCAAAAATCAATAAGTTACATAACTATACATACAATATTTGATTTTATTTTGTGTTAACTACACAATAATAATCATAGTATGTATATGATAGTACACTTGCTTTCATACATGAATGAACTATGAATTTAATTTCACAATCCAGTGGTAAAAACAAAATGTAATTACAAACACTCTACTAGAGCTTCAGTTTCCAGCAAGCACGAGTTGAGCAAGTTAAGAGGCGTTCGCGCTGTCTTAGTGAATGTGATTAACAGGACAATATTTATCAGGCTTGCATTGCATTGAAAGGACTTCATGCGAGAGAAAAATGAATGGCAATCAGTCTTCGGCTTGCATCAACTGAGAAAAAAGGCACACTGAAAGGGTAACTAATTAGACTGTTGCTACCCGCCTTTGACTGCACGCTCAACAACAACACTGGGAAGCTGGGTACAGAAAAAACTTTATCTTGAACCCTATCCCTGAAATTTGCGTGGTGTGTACAGCTTAAGCTTAACTGATAACAGTCCACATGCCTCTGAAGGACGGGTGGATAACTTAAAGGCACATTGGAGTGGGGACGCGTAAAGAATCGAGCTTAATTGCGATGTGGCCACTTTGTAGCCGAGGACCCTAGTGCCGAGCTTTTGATGGGTTTGACGCGCTTCCACAGGTAAATTGATTAATAATGCGTTTGACCCGATGCTCCTCGTGTTGCTATCTACTCTTGGATACCGTTAATTATTTTCCACTTTGCGGAAAAGTTGTGTAAAGTTCAAAGCCTGCGCTGCTAATTGCCTAGATCGTGCACATTAGGTAACATAAATTAACTCTAAAGAAAATGGCACAGTATAAAATGTACTTTGTATTAAATTCCAATTAAAACTCAAACAATTTAATATCACAATACTGCAATTAGCTTTTGTATAACAGTCTTACATATAAGCAGATATTATCTTTACTCTATACTGGCAAGCGAATTATTAATTACAAAATATTTACAAATAATACGAAACGAAAGTTTTTTAGTTTGTGCTTAGACGTGAAATGTTTTAAGATATCAATATTTAGTGAAGGATTAAAATCGCAGTTTATTTTTATATTTATTGATTTAAATAATTTGTTCTCTGTGTAGACATAGTCAGATGTAAACGTTTAAAATCAAAACAAAATTGTTAATATAGTATGCAACCGCATTTTTTTCACAGAG